CATTTATTTGTGCATGTAGAAACACTCCATAATTAGTTTAACTGAAGGGAACACTAAATTAACAGTAGCTAACTCAGAGTTTGAGTTCACAGTGCTGTACAGAGCAGTTTTGATACTTCCCCTATTGTGGGTTCTGGCCATCACTTTCCGTCTGAACAAGCACAATTTTCTATGCCTGTTTAATGCAAATGCAATCCCTGCCTGCCCATTTCTCTGTGACTGTTTAATATGCACTCAGCTGCTGGCAGTGGCCCCATTCCAGACTGGAGGCTGTTGTGTCCTGCCCTTGTCTCCAGGATGTCAAGGCCCCTTCCCAGAAGTGGCTGATAGAATCCTCTGAGGTTGAGGAGGAAGAAGGTCACCCCTGCTACCTCCTCCCTGCCTGTGTGTGCTGTGGGACAAGGAGAGGTGGGAACCAACAGCTCCAGGTGTGGCAGGAAAGTGAAGCAATTGTCTACATCCAAAGGAACTGGTTGGATTGCACCAGAAGGGAGAGCCAAGTGGCAAGACTGTGTTTCACTAAACCAGTGTTGTGGTGGGGAGGGAGGGACCCAATTTCAGCACACAGACCTTTGCAGCAACTTCCTTAGAGGGGCTGAACATCCTTGTGCTGATTTTAAAGTGTCCAAGTCCATGAAGGATACACAGAAAGCCTGGGAGCATCCCTGGGTCACCACTTCTGCATCTGGGCATTGAACTGCTTTGGTGCTGCTATCTCTTGTCTGTGAGCATCCTCTGTCAACAACACAAAATCACCCAAATAATGCTGTGGGGTCTTCATCAATAAGTGCCAGAGAAATCTCTTCTTTTCTGAGTACTTGGTTTTTGTGATTGTTTCAAGAAAGAAAGTCTGGTTTTGAGGCATCAAGTGCAATATTTTTCTGCATCACTCCTCTTTCTTCTTGAGGTTTCAGCATGTCAGTTTTCTTAGACTTTCAAAACCATTATCCCAACAGCAGCAACTACCCGTTCCTTGTATCCCTGTGCTGGTTCCCAACCCACGCGGCATCAAACCAAGCTGTTTCTCTCTAGCTCCCAGAGACAGGAATAGCCCAGTTTCCCAACAGCTTCACCGGCCTGCCATCTACTCTCTGTTTGTTTTGTTGCAATTCAAAAAACACACTTCAAGCGTTGACACATCTCCCAGCTGTGGACACCCTTCCCAAAAATATGGGCCTTGGTACATCTCTTACTGATACTGAGTTTTCATTGCATTATATTGGATAAATCATCCTTTAGGATGTACCATTTCACTCATCCTAAGTGCCATAGGCAGAGCTGAAGTGCCACACAAATAACAAACCAGTGATACTGTCAATAGACAAAGGTCTTGTTTTATGTGCTGACAAAGTTCTGTACACCCAGAATGATATATATCCTACTTGCCAGAATGTTTATTTATTTATTTAAAAGAGGATGAAGACTTTCCTTCTTAGATAAAGAAATAAAGAAGAAAAATACTCTCCAGAAAGTTCTGTTTTCACCATTATTGAACCACACCCTGTCCTTTTCATATAAGAAATATTGCCAAAGCCACAATCTTTCATCATGTGGTTCCTTTTAAATAACCTCCTAGGTACTAAAGGTCAGAATGATTTAAGAAAAATAACCTGGTAGTATGAAAGAACTTTTTTTAAATGCAAAAAGACAAACAGAGGAATCCTACGCAAACTTGCCATAAATACAAGGGATGAGGATGATGATGAGTGGAATAAACTACATTCACATTGTGTTCATCTGCTTTACTTTGTCGCAAGTTTTGTTCAGTTCAGAAGTCTAATATAAAAATAGAATTATTCAATTCATTGCAATTCTGAATCCATTCCTATAGCCTTTCCCCATAGATTTGTTCTTCAGCTCCACCAGGAATAGTCACACAATGACCACAGTTAGCTTTGTACTATTTTTATCCATTCTCACTACTGAGCTTATTGCCAATATTGATTCTTCCATCTAACTAAGGTAAAGGAAGAAAAATGTAAAATTTTATTTCAACTATTTTTGTCCAATTTTGCTTCTCCAAATTATTTCAATGAAGACATATTTTGGAGTGTGGGCATTTCCTATATTTGATATTTTTCAAAAATTGAGTAGTTTCTGCTAGTCTGCAGAGATTGCTGTTTTGTTTTGTTTTTCTACAAATATTTGCTTATTTCTAAGCCACAGTTTTGAATTACTTTAAGAACAAAAATTTGAGCACTTTGAAGGTGATTCACAAGTAAACCAGACACCTCTGCCTTGGAGTGGCAATGTTTACCCATACCAGGATGGGCAGGATGAGTGTCTGAGGATCATGAAGGTCTTGGTTGAACTGAAATCATCACCACAGCCCATTGAAGGCCCCAGTACAAGCTGTGTTCGTGGTGTATGCTATGTGTGCAAGTCTGTGTGTGTGTGTCTCGTGTTTGGTTAAAGTTATGTGCCCATTCCTAGCCAACACTTTGAAACTTCATTATTCAATTCTCAAAACTTTTTAAAAGCTGTGTAATACCAGGCTCTGTTTTGTTTATAGCAGACTATTCTTTTGATTTTACTATGAGAGCATCAGGGGTCAGGAGTCTCTTTTGCTTGGTGACGTGCACAGCATAGAAAAAAGATTATTACAGAGCTTAGTATTTAGTTTATTCTTTAATTTCCCCCATACTCCAAAACAGTATATTTTCTGGGACCCAAGGACTGTCTTGGTGGAGGACAAGCACATATGAAAAAAAAAAAGTCTAAAAGGCGGGGTTGTAGAAGATTTTGGAATCACGAGGTTTTGCATTAAATGAATGGTATTTTTGGATAGCCGTTTCCACTCTTTGAGAACACAGCTGGACAAGCGACAGCTGAAGAACCCAACTTCAAGTCCATCTCACTATCTCCTTCAAATATTCCTGATACTGCTTTTCCTTTCTCTCATTGAAGGAGAAACTGGCAGGGCACGACAAATCCTGCCCCTGGCTGGGGCAGCAGAGGCAGTGCACTCCTCTTGCTTCCTTGTACCTCTCCTCCTTTCAGCTTCAAGGTAAGAGTGGCCTCACCTCTAGCCAGGGGCTGGCAATACATCTGCCTTCCATCATCAGCTGGGCTGGGAGGAGAGCAGCAGGTCAAGGCACTGTGAGCACAGAATCCCCCTTCAAGTCACTCCCAAGGCCCAGCTCTGGTTGATTGTTCCCAGCCCTCACACCTCCCTCCTTCCCCTCACCTGAGCCTCTCCACAGCAACATTTCCTCTGGGAAAAACACAGGGACCCCTCTCCCACCTACTACCCATTGCACACCTCTTTCTTCCTCCTGCAGCCTTCCTTGAAAAACAAGCTACCACCCCCAAACCCACATTTTTTCCAAGCAGTCCTCCCACTTTCTGTTTGCTTCACCCTCTCCCTCATTATCCTGGGTCTTGCTTTTGTTTGTCTTGGCTATTTTGGGCTGGAAGCTCTTTGGGGAAGGGAATAGTTTAAGTGTTGCCTGCTCAGGATGTGAAGTGTTTGAGTCATTCCAGCTGAGAGAAGCTGAACTGATAAAAGAGGCACAAACTGACTGAGAAGAGTCCACCTGAGCACGGGTAACTAATTAAGGAATCAGCTTTAACAGGTATAATTCATTAAACAGGTGTAACTTTAGGGAGAAAAAAGTCCTATTTTAAAAGGCATGGGTAATTGTTTAATCCTGAGGTTTCTCAGGAAATCCAGTCCAGGTCGTACTCTGCTATAGTGAAGTATAGCATGTTCACAGGGTAGTTATAGAATAAACTGCAGTCTCTGGCTCCTTCCTCACTGTTGCCAATCCTGAAGGATCACAAATATTGTATTATTTTAAATGAGAGTTACATATAACTTCTTGCAATATAGAAGTATAAGTATATAAATTAAAAACAGTACCATGTACTGGGAAGCAACTATGTTTTTCTCCAGCCAATAGCTCTGTGATACAGTTTTAAACTATGTTACTACTTGATACTAAAACTATAATATCGACTGCAAAATTGTTGTGTACATTGAAAGGATCAACATGATATTTCTTATGAGGTGTGTGGGATCCTCTTTGCTGCCAATAAGATCATTATTCTCATTTTAACACCTAGAACACCCCAAATCTCCATATCTGGCAGAGTCATGGAAACATCTGGTATCTATTTTGAAATTTGAGATTCTGTTGTTATAAACTTTTAATTATATGTAAAAACATTTTCTGTTGTAAAAGGGCGTAAATTATTTCAAATGAATCAAGACAAAACTGGGAATTTTTTGTTTGTTCAGGACCATTTCTCTGCTACACCAATAAATGAGACTTTAATAGCATGTGAAATTTAAAAGGGAGTTAATTCCTTTTTATACAAAAAGTGATGTGAGAATTCAGTGAAAAATGAAACCCAAGTATTTTTAAGGAGTATGTCTTATTTGTACTCTGTAAGGAGAGCACTTCTGATGAGCACCTATCATATCAGGTAGGAATCTCTTTCTCATTCTTTGCTTAAGATCCTCTCATCTGTAATATATGAATATTTGTCATACAAGACTAAACACTGATGACTTTTTCTTCTTTTACACTATAGAAAAAAATTGTTGGATATTCAAGCTCTGTTCACATGGTTTAAAGAAAAACAGTCAAGAGTAGAGTCTCTCTCTGCAGCCACTGAGGCCTTTGGCTTGCACTGTCAACGACTACTAAAATAACATTAGCTTTTGATAACAGCACTCAGACAATCTCTGTTCCGTTTTTATGGGGCCCAAGGCTTTGTAGGTGCCTCATTCTGTAGCTGAGGGAAGTGGTAGATGACTACTTTTCTTATGTGACCTCTCTGTGCTCCCTTCCTTTAAACATAGTGGCAATATGTGAGGCTTTCCAAGCCCGTCAGGGCCATGCATCATCTTTCCTCCATGAAATTACAAGCTGTGGTTAGGGCAAAGGTTGTGAGCTCTCCAAGAATGACACCAGGCCAAGAGTGTTGCTGGGCCAAATGTGCCTATGGAGTTGTAATCAGTCATATCAAAACCACCTGGGTCTTCTGAACTGGAGCCTTTAATACTTTTTACCTTCATTTACACCTTTACAGTGACCATGAGAATCCAGTGCTGGTCAATATTTACTTGGTTCACATATTAACTACTAGACTAGACAGGAAGTAGCAGAGAGCCAAGCCCAAGATAAGGTGCAAAATCCACATAGTCTGTCTTTGTTATTAGTTCCTACTTCAGAGTCAAGAGCAAAACACCAGCCGAAAAGTAAACTGAAAAATTTAATTGTTTTATAAAATAAGATTATGAAATTCTATATAAAAATCCAGCTTCTTAAATATGGTACATTCACTTCCTCACAGAATATTTAAATATTCAGGTCACTTTTACTATATTTTCACCGTATTTGAGTTAAAATCATTGGATAAATTAAAACATCCTTACCAAAAGATACCACAACTTATACAAATAAAACTAAGCAATAATAATTTTTTAAATACAAAATATAAGGAAATTAATAACTCTCAAAGCATGCTACAAAATTTTTTACCAGAAAAATATATGGAATCATTTTTGTTTAACTAGAAAATATACAGCGTGCTTTTCATTTCTCTTCCTAAAATTCAGTCTCATACACTTTCCATTTAATTTAATAAATATGTACAACAAAAAACGTTTATTCTTTGAAGAATATAAATAGCAAATACTGGAGTAGAGCCTGGTCCAGCATTCCTTTCTCATCTAGTGACTATAGTGGGACTTTTCAACACTGAATGTGCAAAAATGCAGAATCAGGCTCTTAGTGTTATCAACGGGTTAATAGCTTTTACAAAAGTGATTTTTATTAAAGAAAAAAAAATCCAAAACCACTGCAGAAGACTTAGAACTATTCCAGTCAGGCATTTCTATAAATAGTAAAATGTACTGTGGTGAAACAATGTTCCAGTTTAATTACTGCTGGCAGTAATTAAGGAAAAATAGTCAGTGGAGAATTAAAAATATCTTGAGTTAGACACATCTTACTTTCACAGATTTAAGTTGATTCCCTACCATTTCTAAAAAGAGTTTCTGGTATAATCTGTACATTGTAAATCTGTGAAGAAACTTAACCACCTTCTTCAGACTTTGGATGGTTCGTTTTGGAAAGTGGTATGTTTTCAAGTGCTTCAGGCCATACATTAAACCCTTAATGGTGTCTTGGTCACCATTCTTTATTCTCCACAGATTGAGAAGCTTCAGGACTTGCTCTGTGGGTTGACATAATTTCGTTGTGCGTTCAACATCTTCTTTTCCCACTTTCTTGCCTGGTAAACTTGCCATCAGCATGTTGAGATGTTCAAAGGTGAGGTTCGGGTGGCCAATGTGCTTTAAGACACTGTTTTCACAATGATCAATATCTAGAGAAAGCAAAAACAAAAGAGAGGTAAGTACAGCCCATTACAGCTTAACCGTGGCCTGCAAAAAACTTCCAAAATTCCAAGGTGAATATTCCCTTCCAAATTTTTTTTTCTTTATTTCAAATAATTCTCTCAGGTTTGGTTTTTAGGCTCCAATTACGAAAAATATTTAAGAATTTAATTATCTTTGCAAATATAAACAACCTCCAAATTACAAACTTCATAGCAGGTATTTATTGCTATAGAGTTGTGTTATCTGTCCTGTAAAATGTTGCATGTATATAATAGAACTCTTAATATTTGGTTCCAGTGAATGAAAATTTAGCTTAATCTCTTCAGAATGTCTAGGCAAGTTTTGCTAAAATAGTAATTTTGGGGTTTGCAGTGCTCTATACATGTCACAGTGTGACGGAAGATACATTCTAAATAGCGGAGGGGTAAAAAAAACATTTCTGCAGCCTTTTTCAAATCTATTCTGAGTGGACAAACGTCATTTGAATGTGGTGGCTGCTAATGGTGGTTTACATAAGAAGAGTTGACCTGACTGTTGTAAAACCCTTGGTATTAACATTGCAGCACTCTTTCAGCTTTGAAACCTGTCTTGGTAGATTCAGCATAAACAAAGCAGAGAATCATTATGACAAACAGGTACCAGAGGGGGAAAAGATGGGAAAGCCTACCTGTGTATTTCTCACTGCCATGTGCCCCCACTCTGTGAATAGATGTCCTAGTCCAAAATATCAACCTCCACTTTTAGAAAAGTAGCTGCACTCTCGGTTGCAGGCGTGCAGCTCCCTCTAACCTCCACAGTCACTGCTCAGGTATAACAGTGGGAAACACTTGCCTCACTTGAACAAGATTTTTCATACGTTGTGCAGTTTCAAAAGGGGATGTTGGCCATGGCACAACACATAGTCCCAAGGGGGGCTACAAATCTGGGAAGAATTCGGTCCTCAACTTATCAGGAGAAGCTGAATTCTCTTCCTGCGTCCCCTCAACTTCACTGCTCTTACTGCATCAATAAATCTCATTCAAGCCCTGCAGGCCCAGCTCTGAGCATAACACATCACCAGGAGGTATTTGATCTCAGGCAATTTTTAAAATGCCATTTAAAAGGTTGCTTTTAACACACATGCTATCACAGTTAGATACCTTGAATAATCTTCTTGACCATATCCTGCTCTTTGTTCTGCTGCTTCCATAATTTCAAAAGCTGGAAGGTCTGCTCTTGAGGGCTGTGTCTTTGTTTAATCCTTTCGATGTTTTCTGTGCTAACCTTTGTCCCAGGCAAACTGTCTGCCAGTATGTTCAGCCAGTTAGGTGTGAGATGGGTAGGAACAGCAAACCTGAACATAGCCTCCTCACAGAGGGTTACGTCTGAAACGAGAAATAGAAGAAGATGTCAGTTGTTCCAATCTGTTACCCTGCCTGTCTCAGGGCGAAAAAAAAAAAGCAAGCAGCAAGAATGATAAGAAAAAAGGTTTAAAAAGCAGGTTAAGAAGTGGTCTCTATGAAGAGATTTCTCTCTGTGCTTGAATTCTATTTGATCTAAGCTACGATAATTAAGTCTACTCTGGCCATTACCATAGCAGGCAAATGGCTAATAAGCTAAATATTTTTATCATAAATGCTGATAAATTAATTTAAATAATAATTAAAGGTATGATTTCAGAACACTCTTCCTTAATATGATACATACCTATTCCACATTTTTGAGGTGTCATATCTGTATTTTCCTGACAGATGTTGTCACGAACCTCATTTCCCTTCAAAGTTGTTTTAAAACCCAGGGCACTACAGTTCGTGTGCTTAAGACAGGCTGCTTTGGATGATGTTTCATTTGAGAAAAATCCTTCTGGACATTTCTCACACACAGTGTCGCTCTCAGGGGTACCTGCAGAAACAGGAAAACAATGCGTCCAATTACATATAACCTCAACTGTAGGAAAAAAACCCCACAATTAGAACACAAAACTAAAGGAAAATATTCCTCTCTAAGTTGTCCTGATTCTGATTTCATATTTCTGATCTATTGAGGAATTACTTTGAAAACAAACAAACAAACAAAACAAAACCCCAAACAAAAGATTCTTTAAGAGAATTATGTTCCTGCTGGTCTATTACAGTAAATAGACTCATAAATACAGTTGTTACCAAGTTTAAAATCAAATATTACTGATTAAATCAGTAACTTAGTAAAGCAATATCTTTAAAACCTCAATTACTTGAGTCTAGTCAGACATTACACAATGTCTGATCTTCATCTTTCAACTGTACAAATACTCTGTAAAGTAATTAAGTGGCATAAAAATCTGTTTTGAATTTTACTCTGCAATAACTGCCTAGAATCTTACTTGAATGGGTTGCTTCAGTTCTACCTAAACCACAACCAAACTAAGTGTCAACTAAAGACAACATTTTTTAATCTTCTCTCTGGGCTTGAATAAAACACTACTAAAAGAAAGTATAATGTCCAGTATAACAAAACTATTTAATAAACATACATGTTTTCATTGGTGATTTATAAGGTATAGTTTTACTTCAGAAATAAATATATGATACAACAACAGAACAACAATATGTGGTTCTATCTCACTGACAAAGAGGAAGAAAATTAATACAAGAAATCTGAAACAACGCAGTCTAGCCACCAGTGGCAGCAAAGTAACAGCACTAATAATTGTTGTATATTCACTCTTAATTCATCCTTATTCAGCCAACATTTAACAAGTGCCTGAAGTCTAGTATCTAATATTGTATTATTGAACATGAACTTAAGCACATGCTCAAAATTTATTTGAAATAATTGTAAATTATATTTGAATAAGAAAATACCTCCATCTAGTGTATTTTTAAAGTATTTACATGTGGATGTTTATTTTGATGATAGCTTTTAGGTAACCTTTATTTACTTTGGGAAATCCTTAGAGAAAAAGAGTATGAATCTCAAGTTTTCCACAAGCTGTGAAATAAAGAATAGTGGTTACATACACTTGACCTAGCATTTCATCAGACAAGTGAAAACAAAGGACTTTATAGTTGCCAGAGACCCTGTACATCTCCAACCCGCCTCTCAAATCCTCTGCTTTCTGTAGCCAGTACCCAGACTGCACCCACAGCGTCTGTCCTTGTGCTTCTTGCAGAACATGCACTGCCTGTGGCTCTGGGCTGGACAAAACTCCAGCCAACAACTGCACCTGCACAGGCAGCAATTACCTGGCCTCAGACAGCTGAATTTTAGCAACTTTCCCTGCTATGGACAGGCTGCTGTTGTGTTCTGCCAGCAAAAAAGGGGAAAAAGGAGTATTCCTGCAAACAAGGGTCACTCTGCTCAGAGCTTCCTGCGTAACCCTTGTGGCACAAGAGAGGAATAAACTGGGTAATCCATTGGCATTCTCAGGGTTGAGCATGAAGTCATCCTCCAGCTTTGCCAGCTTCTTCATCGCTGTTTATCTGGCCGTTCTTGTTCAGGGCACAAACTGCCGCTGTCTGTCCATCCTTCCGCCGCTCCCTCCAATTCCCCTGGAATCCCCCATTCTTCCCAGGGAAATGTCAGCCGCCGCTGGGGAGACAGTGCTGCCTCGTAGCAGCGCTGCTGCTCCGGTACACTGCTGCTATAAACCCTGTCATGCACAGTGTCAGAGGGAACAAAACCTTAATCTGCACTCACAAAAGGGGACAACCAAAGTGATCTCCCAGTGTAATCACAAGCAACTGGCAGTGGGAAAAGAGATTTCTAGTGCTTTAAGCTTTAAAGGAGGCAATCTTTTAAAGATTTTGGACCACAATCTACTTGTGTGGGAGTGGAAGCATATTTTCCTAGAGCTAGGTTTTATTTCACCTGAATTTGCATTCTTACAAAGTTCAAGGCTATCGTATGGCAGAAAGCAGCAACACAGTATGGTACATGCTTATTAAATTCTTAGTTTTTGCCTCATGTCAAAAACTGACTATTGGCACAGGGGGATGCCATTATTTTTACAATGTTTTCATTCCTTTTTTGAGGTCTGCCTGGATTTAGCTAGTTCGTTCTGATGGTCTTTTGGAAACCAACTTTCCAATAAATTACACGATTCAACATTTTGTCTTCTTTCAAAGTTTGTTTCATTTTGAACTGAGGGATTCGAATTTGTCTACCACAGTTTCACCATGGTCTCAGGGATGCAGCAGGTTGGTTGCTCAGACAATCTGTGTTTTGTTCATCTCCCAAACTGAGAACTTCATTTCGGGCCTCTTTTGACTCGCTACTGAGGTACAATGGAACCTTATTAACCCAATCCCCTGGGTATAATAGTTTAGGTTAATGAAGTTTTACAATATGGAAATGAAGTAGCTTCCAGTGGAAATGTTTAACAGTGGCAAGGGCATCAAGGTAATGCTTTGTCAACCAATTACTCAGGGACTAGTGAGAAGCTGCAGCAGTGACATTTTCCTTATATCAAAGCTGCTCTCCAATGAGATGTTCAAAACCCAAAAGAGGACTCCTAGCCTGTCATTCAGCACAGCTCTAAAATGTACAGGCCAGCCCTGATGTTTCTCACTCCATGTATGTAATTCCTAGGGAAATCATTCTGTAGTCTGGAGACTGGTTGCCCACAGGTTTGTGTCTGAGATGCTTTGATTTTCTGCATTCCCTTCCTTCCTCAGTGCTCTTTTCTGGGCAGTTATCGAGCTCTGGTACAATGACAGTTTACAATTCTTTTGGGCTGTGTTAAATACGGGAGCTAAACTAGGCCATGGTATTTGCCAAACAATACATGATGTATTTTGTTTTGAGGGAAGAATATAGTATTGGTTTAACAATTTACGTTGTCTTAAATGAAGAATACCCTCCACCAAAAAGTGCCCCTTCGCTCTGTATCCATATCAGACATACAGCCAGCCTGCTTGACAAAGAAATGCTTGTTTGTTTCATAATAGCAACAGTTTCCCTAGTAGTTCCACTTAGGATGTTGATAATTAATTATTAACACATATTGCTGTGATGCTAGACCTATATTAATATTGTTATAATTATACACTTGGTGTCAAACATGTAGTGCTCCTGGTGTTTGTCAAGATATACAGTTGCTTGAAACAGCAGATTTCAAAATGAAAAACATTATTATTTATTACACACACAAATACTACGTTCCAGATAATGTTCCTTTAAAAGAGGCAATCCATCATGTTTCTCATTAGAGTGCAATTTGCTACATTTGCTACTGCCATTAAGTTATATATTACAGCACGAGCAGAGTATTCCACTGAGAAACGTTCCTTTGGCTACAGTCCAAATGATGCAGACTAGAACAGGTTCAATTGGCTTTACAATTTACTGTCCTGTAATTTCATCTGCACGAGCCTCTTTCCTAACCTTGTAACTGCCGCCAGTCGTCGACGTGCGGCAGAGCTCTAATTCAGCCCCTGCGTGTTGGCAAGTACGTACCTGGCTGTGCCACACCGAACCCGGGAGGACACTCCGTGTGCTTCAGACAAAACTCGAGCTCCAGGTACCTGCCCGGGATGCACTCACAGATGCGGTTCTGTGTGCTGGAGCACTCCTGCTTGACGTACTGCAGCTCCTTGCAGACGGTGCTGCAGTACTGGCACTCGTCGTGGCTGTTCCACTCCTCGGTGTAGTGCTGGTCCGGGCACGGCGCACACCGCGTCGGGCTGGTGGCTGTGCAGTGCTGCTTCACGTAGCTCCCGGGAGGACACTGGTCACACAGCAGCTGACGAGACGTCCCTGGGTCGTAATGGCGATACTTGGGGGGAGAGTCAACCTGGATGGTCCACTTCACAGAGATGTCCAAGAGCTAGCAACACGAAAATAAAACATCACTTCCTTTAGTTCTGGGGAGCACTGTGATCGAAAAGAAACCTACGCTTCAATGAGTTTATGAGTTTAGTCATGGTACTATCTTCAAACAAATGTTTGCCTTAGAATTTGTAAGATATTAGCCAGCTTTCAGACTCTCACACGTCTGTCTGAGAATGGGAAAATTTTAGGATCTTGTCTAGCAAAACATCCCAATCTTAATATTTCCTTGTTCTTCCAAAGATGTAGATACTATGCTTCTCCCATTTACACCCTTTTAATATCACTGGGCAATGACCTTTTCATGCCTAGTACCAGAGAATCTGGTGCACAGCCAAGGTGGGGATTATGCCTGTTCCTAAGTTTTTAGTACTTCAGATGCAAAAGAAATTGTGTATGAGCATAAAAATCTGACTAGTGTATTGCACCATCAAATGGTTAGAACAATAGAGGTTACTTTTTGATACATTCTTTTTAATCCTGCACTGAAATACAACAGTTCTGGAGATAAAATGTGGCAGCTATGTCCAGGGTGAAGATGCAGTTTCAGACAGAGGTAAGAATACCACAGTTTATGAAGGGTACATTAAGGATTTAATTGCATGAACTGGAAGAGGCCAGGCTAATGCTTTCATTTCTTATGTAAAACCACAGGCTTTCAGCTGTTGTGAGGAGCTGGTTCAGTACTGGCACATGTCATGACAGCTACAGCCCTGCTGCTTCCTACAACAGTCTGCTTTGCGGGTGTGATTTGGGACCTAGAGATCTGAGACAACACTACCCTGCTGCAGAGACAACCTCCATATCACTTCATTTTTGCCTTATAACTAAAAATTTGGTTATATGATTCAACCAGTTTACCATTAAAAAAACTATTGGGAACAGCTCATTGTTCTCACTGAGAACCTAACTCTGTCCTGTGCTTCATGAATGGCTGCATGTGCCATTTCTCTTCTAAAACTTGTACATTTTATAAAGATGAAGTATATTGGTTCTGAATTAAGATAGTTTTCAACATATCCAGTCAAATTATACATACAACTCATTTGTCTTTGTTTCTATTTTAATCCTGGTCAGCCAATTCAATTTCAAAAATATATTTTCTCTTTTTCAATGCGGATATCCCCAAAATCTAAATGGAATTAATTCTTTTTCTTTTTTTTTTTCCCGGGCTTTGTATTTCCTAGAGGTTTTTCATCTAAGGGTCTCACTTCTGCCATGTCATGGCACTTCTGAAGTGATAGTTTTATTAGGTTGTAAAGGACAATTTAAACAGTCATCTGCATTAGCAAAAGTCACAGCGATCACCAAGTGATGCCTAAATTAGGAACTCCTTCTGCTTAAGAAAATACTCTTAAATGTATTCTCCTATTACCTGTCTACGAATCCACTTTTTACACAGCTTTTTTATACAGCTATACCTAGACAGCCTGAGGAATGAAATACAGAGAGTGTGGCTATTCCCTACAGCCTCTTGTAGTTACCCTTGACTAAGCCTGGTAATTTATACAATCTGTGTTTTCTACAGGTGGAGAGCCCATTTTTCTTGTGGCCTCAACATACAATCCTTTCAAGAAATTCCTTAATAGTCTTTGAAGTTTGATGTACAGCTCCATTTTCCTTAAATGACTGAATCTGTTTCATGTGATCTGTTTAACAAAGAGGGTGCAGCACATTTTTTAATAGTGAATGGCTTTCCATTGATGAAAAATGCCCCCACCCTTGGTAAATCTACATCTGTGACGCTAGTAATAAGGAAGTCCTGGTAATCTCATTAATTTTTTATGTGAACAGTAAGGTTCTCTTCTATATTTCTAATTCAGTAACAGCTAATACAGCATACCAGAGTCCAAGACTTGCATGGACAGATGCATTCCCTTTACAGAATATACCAGATTGCGACAGACAGCACAGATGCTCCAAACATCAACCCCCATTTCATGTGTCTGTGGAAACCCAAGACAATACCCAATGCAGATGAAAATCCGACACTGTGAAAATTATTAGGGGCAGCAACCAGACATATGGGTAGTACATCCTTGTGCAGGAACACTGGGTTTCCTGCTCTGCAATTCACAGCTCACAACAAATCCGAAACTGTCACTGCAGTAGAATCTTCTCTTCTAGGTTGTGCCTCTGCCCTTGGTGACACATTTTCATGTAACAAACAGGTAGGTGAATCATTTCGTGGCTATTCAACTCTACTCTGAAACATGTAGGAACAAGAACAATAAGATTTTCTCTATTTCTCTTACTCAGCTATTTACATTGGAAATCGTGTGTGAGGCAAGTGAGGAGTTTTGCTGCAGGGGATAACTCAGCATTAAAATTAATTAAAATTCAATAATCATGAGAGCATGGGGAGTTTTAGGGAAAAATGGAGACACTTGCTTCCTGAAGAACCTACAGCTATGTGAAATAAGCCAGGAAAAATTGAAAACAATTCAACATAATTTGAGGGGAGCTGATGTAAAAAACTGAGCAAAACGAGACTTGAACAATACTTGTTTGAGGCCTGCAAAGTTTTGCCTTTGGAAGAACCAATAACTATGGACTAATAGTGTCAAACAGAATATTATTAATCCAAATGAGCATAACCAAACCCCATAATAATAACATTAATAAATCGGCATCAATAAAAATACAATTAGTCCTTCCATTTGATTTTTTTATTCGTGCTTTTAACACAAAATCACATGAAGCCTGTCTTCCCTTTTATCCTAGAAACACACATTATGCAGCTGCAGTAATCCATTGAGCAGTGGCTGAGCCATATGTATGCAGGATCCACCTATTTTATTTACAAACAATTACAACAAGAAGATTCTTCAGTCAAACTCAAGATATTTATGCAATCAATATCTCAGTATTTTACCAGAGCATTTTATACATAATTTTCAATATAGAGCTAGATTACCATTATTACTACTGTTTGACTACCATGATTCTTTCAGCACAGTGAGCTGTGCAACTCACTGCCATAGGACATTGTAAACAGCTGAGTTCAAGATGTTACTTGACGTAGTAATGGATGAAAATAATAAAGGGCTATTAAACATAAACATCACCTTTTGATCAAGAAATCCCAACCCCCAAATTGCTTGAGTCTGAAGGACTGTTTTGGAAAAATAGTGATATTTTTCCATTTTTCTCTTCCATCTCTTCTAAACATCAGATATTAACCCATAGACAGCATATGGCTTGGTTTAGGACATTTTATTCTGGATTGGTTTTTTTAGCCAGTATAGCCATTAGTATGTTGCTAAGCACATTTCTAGACTCCAATCCCCAATACCACACTTCATAAGACTACTGTAAGTTGCTTAATAATGCTTAAGAGAAATGATCTGCAAAATTGTCTTTTATGGAGGCTGAAAACACCTAGCATAACTGAGTATTCTAAATATTGATATGCAGCCTGCAAATCAGAAGTTATCTTTGAACCTACATCAAGTGCCAAAGGCAATCTATTTTTCAGATGTTTTACAAAAATTCAGGAAAAATGCTTGAAAGTAATTAAAAATAATTTTTAATAGTTTTGCAGCAGCAATTCGGCACAAAGAGAATAAAAAGACTCTTCTTGTCTTCCAGTTCACAGAGTGAGCTAGAGGGGAATGTCACTAAATTGTCCTTTCTCCTGTCCTAGCACACACTGAGTTTGTGCTTACATTAGGAAGTTGAATCACCTGTTACAGCAGATTTCCAGAGCAAAACAGATGGTGCCGAGCACCTGACATCCTCATTATGCAGGATTCAGAGGGGATATTTTGGACTAACTTCAGTCTGCTCTCATGGATGAGCACGAATTAGTGGCTTCAGTGCATCTGGTGCATCTCTGGAGTCTCTCTCTTGATTTACTTTCATCAGTCCAGTTTACTTTTGTAAATCCACTTATTCACTACATTGTTATGATATGCAAACTAAAATACAGTAAGTAAGGTTGGTCAGGAGAGGTCCTTCAAAAATATGTTCCTGAAACAAATTAAAATGGTAATAAAATGCATTTTATGTTGTTCCTGACATTTCCTGTCCTAAACTATGCTATGACCAACTTGGTAGCAGATTCTTAGCTACACAAAACCTCTGATTGATCTGAATGCCCATATTTAAGGGTGGTCTACACAGGAAGCATCTGAATCTCTACTGTAAGAAACAGCACTATCTGAGCACATGAAAATGCCATGATTAAAACTTACAAGTTCAAAACATTGATCTTCCCCAAAACTTCACAGAAAGCAAGATTTCTTCTATAATCATTCTGGCACTGGCCTGTTTTGCTCTTACTGGAAAAATTGGCATGTTCCAATTTGAAAGAAGGAAGAAACTATAAGTCTGTCTTCAGTTTACTGGAATCAGAAGTAGGGACAATGAACACGTTCACCCTTTAACCCTCAAGAAACCAAAGCTGGAGTACATCAGAACTACACTTGGACAAATTCATGGATTCGTCATTCCGAAAATTGTGTAAAATTCTGTTCATCCTTGTTTAGGAAAGGTTAATTCATCTGGGAAGCAGTATAGAGAAAGTTTAAAAGGAAATTAAGAGCTTCATTTAGAAGAGGATCTTGACTTTTCCAGGAGTTTGGCAAGTCACAACTGCACTTATAGATTTGGTACAGATAGTGAACACACAGAGAGAGAACTTTCTCCATTAAAGGATAATACTGGCAAATGAAAAGCAGATTGTCTCATCCTAGGAAGATTGGAAACAGCCTTTCACTGAGAAGCAGGTGCAAGAAATCCAAGTAGTTTAAATATAGCTCTCAATGAATTTCTGAAAGTAAATGTGGCATTTGGTTTCCTGGAAGAGCTGGCAAATGGACTTGAAAGATCTAGGCAGTTTCTTTAAATTTTAAACCCTAAGCAAGTCCTTTTTATCCCAGCACTGATGGAAGACAATAATGCTCAGTATCTTGTTCATCTCAACAAATTAACTGTTAGTCTGATTCAGAGTGCACTCAATTGCAAACAGTTTTCCTAGCAGTAGTGAAATGCAAGATCAATTTTAAAAAAATCCCAAAGGTTGGGTTTTTTTGTTCTATGAGTATGAAATGTTATCAGTAACAAAACAGTTACAGCAAAATCAAACCAAACTAAAGCCTAGTATCGTTAACTACATCTAACAACTTACTGGGTTAAACAGTTCTAGTATCATGGGCCCACTTCTGAAAGGACTGAAAAACTCAATCTTCATCCATCTCCCTGGAGAAAATCCTGGGCACCTCTCAGTGTGTTGTCTCTATGTAAGGAATTGGGATGAACTGTAAATATTGAAATACAAGTCTAGTGCAAGTCAGTGTCATGCAAGTAAATACTAAGAACTTACTCAAAATGAGTTACCCAGGGTTAAAGAGCAATTCTTTCACTGTGTCACTCAACATGTTAGGCCTGAAGCTATATTTCTCCATACCATCTTTATGTCAGCATAAAAATGCTGACATAAAAGGCCTGTGCAGTCCATTTATTTGAGTCCTTGGAAGATTCTTTTGAGAGAGAAATAATGTGATTGTAAAATTTCACTTCAGATCTTGGGTATGAAAAAAGTACAAACCCTTTTCTTTCATCTTTAAATGTAAGGCCATGAGCTGCTTGCTTTCTCTGGTTGAATTAAAATGAAGTAGAAGACAAAGCACATGAAGTAAAAATCCTTCAATCCCTTTAAATCACTGCTTTGTGATAGAAAGAAAAGTGGCTTTTCAGCATATGAAAATATTATTATATAGCTTGGCTTTGTGGTTTTGGGTTGTAGACCAAAGGAGAATGTTTAATTTGCTGAGGAAGATAAATATGTTTCTGTTTTGCATTCCACAAGTATTCTGAAGCATATTTTCTTGTGTGATAAATAATCATTCAAGACATCTGTAAGATTGCTCCTGGTGTTTGCATTGGGTTCAAAGTAAAACCTCACAACTCTCCTACTTTGCCTTCTACACAAAGCATTTGGACCAAGCTAAGGCAGGAGGCCTTCCCATACCGTCAGCCCTTGGGCAGAATGCCTCACTGAAATCATGCACAGGCCCTGAAAAATCCCTCTGGCAAAATATAGCACTGAATGATGTTATCAAGGTCCTCCTCACTGATAGCTTGTATCTCTGAATCCAGTACATGACAATGCCATGCTGTTCCATGTCCACCTATTGCAAATAACCATCATAAAATACTTGACAGCCTGGGAGAAATTACTCCCATCCATGTGGGAGAGACTCTGGTCTCATCCTTCTCTCCTACTTGTTCTGGAGGCCCATGCAGTCACGAATTTACCCTCTGTGCTCTGCAGCACTGCTGACCTGTGGGTTGCTGTAGGCTCACTGAGAGCACTGCCCAGACAAAGCACCTTTTGGCAGAGCACAGGAGAGTGCCAGGTACACAATGGAAGCTAACACGAAATCATTCTCACTGGTTTGAGTTCAGCTTCTAAGGCTGTTCCACCATTCTGCCAACTGTTTAATACAATCCTTTGGACATAACAGGACCTACTTTTGTTTGGAAGGTGCTCTGTGGAGGCCGCTTTTTTTACATAAGGAATAATAACTGGTGACTCTCCTCAGTGACCTGCATTCAAAACTGGGGCTGTGAACCACTGTCTTCCTTTCTCTGTCAGTAAAGCAGTATGTCAAAAAGTCAAGTCTTGTAGAGACTTTTGCAGACCATTAGTTGTCATTCACAAAGAAATTTAGGGGTCTAAGCTATTGTTTCATTTTCAGTGATAGGAAAATGACATGCAGCTGAAAAGCAGTTTTACATCTTATCAAAGAAGTGTTAAATGAAAAGTCTTCATTCGTATGAGTTACCATTTACCTTGTAGAGGGAGAAAACAGGAAAATCCAGCCAGATAATCTCCAAAAGATGTCTTATCTATAACGTATATTTTGGAACATTATTCACCACAGTGTCAGCAAGATTGAGAGTTAACCTGAACTTGGGATGTTCCTACGGTGACTACAGTCTGCCTCTGCCTTTACGCTGACAGAATTCCTAACAACTGACAAGCTAGCTAGAGAAACAGTATGTCCAGTACTTTGTGCAAACAGGTGTTTCTACAGAAGGAACGAAATTAATTTTTCCATGAGATTTGAACAGTGGGTGTTGCTTAAATTGTGACAATATCTTTTAAAAATTCTTCTGGTAACCTTAGTGCTTTATTTTTAACCAACACACATGCAGACAGACAGAAAGAAAGTCAGACAGAAAGATAACTCCTACACTCGCGGGCTGCAAAGCCACTGCTGCCTACACACAGCAAACCCAACAGGCAGGCCAGAAAAAGCATGTCACATGCACCCAGAGATCCAAAATAGAGAAAGGTCAAGTTTAAGGGTCAAGATAGTTACGTGACAAGTAATGAGATTCAGCTCTGGAGAATTTCTTTCCATTCAGTCCAATTTCATAATGCTTGTCTGTTTATAAGCAGCCTCAGTGTTCCAGCAAATAACACGAACATGAACACAACACCACTGCAGGTCCCCCTTCTGAAACCTTAGCAAAGACGCCAAGGCTGAAAGTACATCTTGGCCAAAAAGTCTTTTTAGCTATGGTGTCCCCAAACTAGATTTAAGGTGTGTAAGCCAAACATACACAACTTCGAACTGCTGTTGTGCCTCCTACAAGGGTTCTTATAAAAGAGATACTGAAAAGACTTTTCTGAACTCTAGCTATCTGACAGTACTTAAACTTCACTGATTTTACTTAAACTTCACCAAACTTTAAATAAATGGTTTTAAAATAATAATAACAAAATACAGTTGAATGATGAAGGTCTATTGTATGTATTCCTGCCACTCATGTATTTCAGTTCCAAGACTCATCTACCACAGGATTATGCTGAACTTCACCAAGTGTATTACTTTATGGGAGAACATGAACAAGCACATGAATTTAATCAAAATCCTGATGTGATTATTTTATTACATCCATAGATAAGAAGCAAAGCTGATAATGAGCTATTGCTGAAATTCCCATATTAAATTCCCATGCTTTAATGTTGACAAAGGAGCATCACATGAGATGAAAAACTTGTCCTGCGTTTCAGTCTGCCGACCACAAGCCTGACAAATTTTGCTTCCCTTGCACTATTAATTACTTTGGGTTTGTTTCTCAAAAAACCCTTTCAGAAATTTGTACAGAGAGTAATAAACATGCATTACTCATCAGATCCTGGAAATCTCCTTGCATTTATAAAAAGGTTTCAGAATAAATGGATCTCAGTTCTAATGCTCTGCCACAACATTAATGCCACTGTACTCACCAAAACAACACAGGAGTAAGTTACTCTGCTGGTAGGAATAACAGCCTGCTCTGAATATTATTTTTTAATGTTTTTCTTTTAATGTTTTCTTATACCAAAGATGAATAGCTTCCAAGTAGATGTTACATAGGATCTCCCTCTATGCAGGTTTTAATTAATCTGAACTCATATACAATTCCATATGACTAAATGGATTAAATAACATTTTGAAAGATTTACCACATCTCTAAATTTGCATCTGGGAGCATCTCACTAAATCTCTAAGTAAACAAAAACTTATTAGAGCAGGAGGTTATACTAGATTTCATAACACAACTTTTTCTGTAATAGTTACTGACAGAGCTACTAATTCATCACTTTCTTGCACATGAAGCTGAATATTATAAGCCAAAACGAGCATCACACACTTATGCTCTTTTTTTTTTTTTTTTTTTCTCCCCTGGAGGTCACAGTGGTTTTCCCCAGTAAGAAAGGCAGCCCAGTATCTGAGATACCAACAGTGCCACTGCAAGCAGAGATTAGAGGCAGGCAGTGATGGAGCTCATGTATATCAGAAACAAACATCCCAGCCTACAGTTTCCAAATTAATTCCTAGATACACTGTTTTGCATCAGTCCAATATGATGAAGCCTTACAAAAAGAGGGAGGAAGACAAGAAAAAAGGCAAAAGAAAAGCAATTCATGCCGCTACCTTGAGAATGGGATGAAAATCCCTGCTGTCTCCCTGGAGCTGGACGCGTCCATCACTCTTCAAACTCATCAGGAAAGTTAGGAGTGATGAAGTGAAAAGGGTTTACCAAGAAAACTGAGAGAAAGCAAAATAACCCCCAAACAAACAAAACCTGCAAAAAACCAAAGCCAAAACAAAAACCCCCGAAGAAAAGCCGTGTGTCTGTACAGCCTGGTGTCTGAAGCTGTAATGCATCCTAGAGCCTATCTGCCCCTCCGAAGGGACTTACCACAAGCGTGCAGCACAGGAACTTGTTCATTGTGGTCGGTGGAAGAAACCTCAGTGCGCTGGGAATCAGGCAGAGAGTCAGCGCCAGGCTCCAGCAGCTGCTTACATTCCCAACATTAAAGACACGATATATATATAGTCCCGGTGTAACAGGAAGCTTGGGCTCAGCTTTGATCACACATTCCCTGCCATGACCAAACTTTTCTCTCGCGCACTCCCCCTCACCGCCCCCCCCCCCCCTTTTTTTTTTTTTTTTTTTTTTTCAAGGAACCTGTAAAACTTGGTGACTTAATGGAACCCTTTGAGCGCCGTAACCACAGACTGGAAAATGCAGGAGGGAGTGTCAGGGGCTGGCCAGGGGAGGGTTTAATTGGGCTCTGTCTGGCTGTCTGGCTGTGCCCGGCTCTCCCCTCAGCAGCGGGGCCGGACGGGGGACCCTCGCCCCGGGGGCACGGCCGTCCCTCAGCTCGGCTCCCCTGGGGCTCCCAGCGGCGGGGCTGGCTGGGAGCAAAGGCCGGGGAGGTGGAAGCTGAGGAGAAGGAGGATCCCTGCTCGTTTCCCTTCCCTGCTGAGGCAGGAATGCGAGGAATGGCCCCTGCCGCTCGCCGAGGCAACACCGGCCGGTGGCCGCCCCGAGGGGCTTTGCCCGAGGGAGAGGCCCGTGGGAAGGGCGACACGGGGCTTTTGCTGTGATTTCCCAGAGACAGTCGGTGTTCGCAGCATGCCCCTGCCCATAGGGGAAGCCTCACTCAGGGGGCTGTTATTCCCCCCAATCTGAGTTAGAAAAGGGCATTTTTCTAGAGCCATAAGGATCGAACCCTCCTGTTTGTGCCTCACGGGACTGCTCCGAGGGCTCCGTGGAAGCCCTGGGGAACCTGTGTGTGTGCCAGCTGTGGAGTAGAGCAGAGGTGCAGAGAAAGGATTTTTTTCTCCCAACCTGCAAATATCCATAAAGGATTATGGGAGGCTGTGGGATCCCGGGGTAGAAGCCAAGCCCAGATGTGCCTCCAGATTTCACAGATGGTTTTCTCTCCCTTTTCACAGGCCAGAACAAAACCTCAGCTCTGGATATTCCAGCTCTCGAGCATTTGAAACCTGGGGCCTCTGCTGGCACTGGGCTGTGCAGTTTTGCCCCTTTGAGTCACAAGGCTATGAGGGATTGGCAGAAATGAGGTGGAAAAAGCCTGCATATTATTTCATAACAATTCAGCCATGCTAAGTCAGGAAACCATCTTCAAGCACAGCCTTGCACATTCTTCCTTGCACATCTGTAACCATTTGAACGCCCATCAAGCTTAACCTAAGATTGAAACAGATTATGGCTTCACTCATTAGGATTACGAAAATTTAAGAGATTTGGATTAGTAATAAGTTCTTTGTAAAAGGTGATGTCAAAACTGGTACAACACCCAAGGGAGTATTGCTGGAGTATCTGTTGGGTAGTAGTCACCACTTGATTGGTATTGTACCTAGAATGGATGATGTAACTGTTCCTGTAATCTTTTCAGAACTTTTTAGTACTTTGGCATTTTTTCTTAATTATATTTATGAACATACTTTCCAGGCAAAAGGACAGTAGTGCCAATAAATAAGACCTACCTCTACGTTTCAACATTTCCATTGTGGGGTAGGGGTAAGGACTCTTCCTGACATGGACATCTCTGACCATGTCAGGGTAGCTGTGGTATTCTCCATATAGGGGCCAACTTCAAATGTCAATCATAGTGTTATAGCAATTCCATCAGCAAAAGTTATGGAAGCCAAACTAGCTATGTCTTCTCTGAGGCCAAGAGTTGGACATGGCAAAATGTCTCTTCTGACTGGAAACAGCTTGTTTCAGTGTCAAGCCAGAGGTCCCTGGAAGGTAGATGATTACTTCCCTGTCAGACAGAGTAGAAAGAAAAGCACCAAACCCATAGCAAGCTCCCTGTGGTTAAATAGCACTGAATTTCTATGGGCCTTGGATGGGGCTGTGTCTTCTCATTGCTGGTGCTAACCATAAATGTGCAACAGCTAGCTCTCTAGAGAAATAAAACTATAGCTCATAAGCCTGTATTCAAACAGGTTAATGCGTATAGACACTATTGTTTATATCAGAATTTTCTAGAGATCAAAATATTTTATGCCATGAACCGGACCCAAAACCAAATTAAAAAGCCATTAAAGTTCTTTAGCTGAAAATGCAACTATCATTAAAAAGTGGTATCTTCAATAGAACTGTTTTGTGTATATTTTTGTTCAGAGTTAGATTTGCCAACTTGTCTGAAAAGGCACTTTACTTCCACAAGCAGTGAAAAAACTGGTATAGGTCAATGACAAGAAAACAGATCTTCCTCAAACTCATTCAGCTAAGTGGAAGGGGGCCCAGGTGTATCTGTTTCAATGAGGACAGTAGGTTTGGGCAGTTGCTAAGGAGACCACAATCTTAAGGATACACGAACATGAAAGTTTCAACTATCCAACCTCATTGGAGTCCGTAGAGCTGGCTGTGGATGCCAGGAGGGAACTATATAGTTGTACTTAGCATGTTTGATCTTGAAATCACACATAGACAATAAATACAGGATCCCACACTGCCATTTTCAGTGTCACTTTCCAAGGAAGAACTGCACTTTAACAAGATTTAAACTGCAGTTTGAATGTTTTCACAAGTGTTTTACAATGTTGCCACTTTGCCTTTGGGAATTAGTTAAGATGTGCCTTGCAGAGCATGGAATCATAGGACAAGGCAGTAAACCCTGTAATAAACACTTGTCCATGCTACAACCAAGTTGTTCTCAGCAGTGTTTAAAATAACCACGTTTGTGGCTACATAACAGAGAAAGGACACAGCCTGAAATTATTTTTTTTAAAATTTGTCCTTTTAATTATTCATTATTCATAGCATAGTTTACAAAATGTAATAGGAAAAGAAACTAAAAAAGTCAGAATTTCTTTTATTAACACACCTAAAGTGTTGAGTATAGGCATTAAGTATTCCCAATATGACTAGCTTGTTTTAACAATAATTAGTTAACAATGATGTAAAAGCAGCCCTCTAGTTAATAGAAATGCTTCCCTGCAATTTGTAACAGTAGACAGACTTGAGAAAAAGGGTAACTTTCATTGGGCAGACTGGAAGTTACCAACACTCCATTGCTTTTGATCTGTAGTGACGTGCTTTTGGTAGGACATCAGCTTATTGATTCAGTAGTAGTCATATTTCCAGACAGGTATTTATCTTTCCCTGTTTTTTATCCTCACTATTTGTATTGCTGTCCTGGATGTTATTATTGTTGTAAATCTATTTTTGTTCCCATGCATCATTATAATCACCAGGTATATAAATGGCTTTGCTCTTCCAGCCTGTCTGCTATCTGGAAAAATTCACAAGTCCAGACCGGTGACTTGGTGCTGGCAGGTGAACACTGTGCAGCTGAGTCATCTCAATATATCAGTGTGATGTTTATTGAGCTCAAGCAACAAACAGTGGGAAGACTGTGGCTTCAGGCTTGGGACTTAAAGTTCACCACACATTACATTTAGAGAACACTCAGAGCCTCGTAATTAAGAGACTTCTGTCAAACTAAGGGGAAGAGGAATCTCAAAAAGATCAATTGCCTATGAAAGAAAACATATTAGTAGCTACAAGAAGGAAACAATCTGACATTCTACATGCTGTTACAGCTGTCTCTTAGAAATTAATCTCTCTCTTTAAATTGTGAGAGCTGATGATCCAAACTATCCTGAGAAAACTTTGAAAATGAAAGCTTAAAGAAAACTGTTAATTTGCAGGCAGTGCGATGGTGCAGGTAGCAGAAAAGAATGTTTCAGATTTGGCCAAAGTAGGAGAAAACCCTCTGCAGGTATTTCCCCATCCTTTTTCTCTCATATAACTCAGAAAACTCAAGGAGCAGACTTCATGCCAACATATACTGAAGGATGAGAAAAAGTATTTAGCTAGTAATGTTGTTAAAAGAAAACTTACACCTAAGTAATTATCTTTGGTTTAACTGTGTGGGTTTTTTTATCTTGTAAGTGGGTTTGCCTTTTTTATGGCTTATTTTGTAAATCTGAGGCAGATAAAAGGTGCTAATATTCCAAAAGGAAAACCTCACTTCTCAGACTGTGTCCAGAGAAGGAAATATGGAGCTTGTCCTATCAAAACAGAACTTGATTTTGATTATAGGATTCTAAGGTTTCAGTGAAGCTTCTGGAAAATTTAGTCACAAAAGGCTTATAGAGTTACCAGCCATTTAAAAAAAAAAAAAAAACACAAAAAACAAACAAACAAAAAACAACAAACAAAAAACCCCAAACATCTTCTCCAAATTTAAAGGGAAGAAGGCCATATATTCTTTGCTGTTCAGGTTTACCTATCTAGGGAATTAAGTCAGCTTGTCAGTCTGAAGAGTGATAGTTCCCTGTGCAAACACCCTTAGCTTGCAGACACTGTTGTCTTCTCTAGTCCCTTTCCAAAGTGGATTCACACCACATAATTCATCTGGATTTGTGATTTTTTTTCAGGTTTATAAGCAACCTGTATCAGTAGGACCAGATTCCTACCTTTTAGATGGATGTAGTTCAGAGTAAGCCCCACAAACAGACCTCTGTATGGGGACAACCTAACTGCTGCACTGTAAATTTACACCCCAACCTGCTTCACAGTCACTCCAACCTACAGGCAAACAATCATGAGCATACAGAGTGCTGGAGAGCTTGGACCTGAGAAATGGCAATTTCATTTAGCCATTCCTACCCTGGCCATTTTTAGCCTTGAATTTCTTCCTAACTTGATCTCTGTGATATCAGGAGGCTTTTTGCAATGATTCAGATCCTTCAAGCACTCAGAAACCCTTAAGGTTTTCTGAAAACCCCATTTGTTACCAGACAATTTGATAAGAAGGAGTCCATTGTTCCCAGAACCAACATTTCCAGTTAACACCAGTACTCTAAAAGAGTGACAGCACATACTTTACCGAAAGCTACAGAAACTGGAACTGAAACAAGACAAGCTTTAGCCAGTAAGATTTTCTGGCTAACAGGTTTTTCTTTTTTGTCTCTGCTAATTTGCTTGCTACTCTGTAATTGAAGGTCACTGGTTAAGGAAAATGGTCCTGTTAGCTCATGAGGAGCGGCTGCAATTTCATTGCTTTCGGTCTGACTTCATTGTGTATATTTGGGCAGTATTAACATGGCACCAATTTTCCCTCCTTCTACTT